CCTTGACTCCAACGCGGGGCTTCAGTATTGCCGCCACTGACACCAATACTGGGGGTTATTATTGTGGCCACTGACACCAATACGGGGGGTTATTATTGCGCCCACTGACACCAATGCTGGGGGTTATTATTAGGGACACTGACACCAATACTGGGGCTTATTTTTGTGGCCACTGACACCAATACTGGGGGTTATTTTTGCGGCCACTGACACCAATGCTGGGGGTTATTATTGCGCCCACTGACACCAATACTGGGGCTTATTTTTGCGCTTGCGCCCACTGACACCAATACTGGGGGCATTGGTTTAGAGAATGTGTGCAGTAGCAGAGACCGGAAAATGCCTTTGTACTGGTCATGTGACAGGGCTCCGATCTGCCAGCGCTGACTGGCGGAACGGACGGGGGAGGGGGCGGGTACAGCTGGCTCTGCCTCTAGATAGGCAGAGCCAGCTGTCACTCACGCAGCTGGGCGGATCCCGTCATCTAAGTCGGGATCCGCTCCAGGTGCGGCGTCTCAGTATACCGCGAGCTGTAGCTCGCGGTATACTGAGCTTAGGGTAACAGAAGGACGCTAGTTTGTGTCCTCCCGTTACCCTAAGGAGAACTATGGGGAAAAACACTGACCCCATAGTTCTCCTTTAAGGGAAATCTCCCCAATGTGACACAGATGGCCTAGAAAGAGAACCTGTCACTTTCTCTTTATACTAAGTTTCCATGTAAACACGACTTATTTAATACAAATGGCTCTGTAAATGAATGTGAAATTGTGATCTGCAGCCCCCAAAATGATGATGATCCAGCTGCACCAAATGAATGAAGGTGAAAAGTATGGGAGGGAGTGGCCGCGCCCCTATCATATGATATACGGTACACCTCTACATGCGGCACAGAGGTGTATACTCCGCTCTGTACGGTAACCAGCCACGCCTGAGAGTAGGGGCCGCGCGCCCATACTACAGGACATACGGTACGCACCGGAGTCTGGAAGGAGAAAGCGCACTCATCCTTGTGTACCCGGTCTCCCGCCCTGGGTAACCGAATATTTGGCAGAACCGATAACAGCGCATCCTTCGCGTCCACCATGACTCCGGCTCCTGCAGTGTTACAGCTTTCCCTTTTCCCCTTCCGGCGACAGTCTGTCCTCCACTCACCAGACTCGGTGGTGACTGGACTGATGGAGCGGTGAGGGAAAACGCACGCGCGGAGGACCATGACAAAGCGCGACTGCAGCTACCGGGGGGCTGGGTTTCAGCGGTCACGTGATGTAGGGAGGCGGCCATGATGGTTAAGGGCAAATTGCGCTGGAGGGAGGGGGAGATAAAGAGAACCTGGTTTATTAGAGGCCTGCCTTAGGTTGATCGTAAAAGGCGCAAATATACCAACTGCCTGGCTGTTAGTTTTTTTTTTTTAAACTTTGAAACACAAGTCAGGACCAGATACATTGAGGGTGATTGATCAAAACTGGAGCAGACAAAATTTGGAGCATTTGCCCATGGCAACCAATCAGCTTATCCCTTTCATTTTCAAACTGAAGACAGCAGCTGATTGGTTGCAATTAGTAACTGCTCCAGATTTTGCAAATTGTTCCCTGGCTGCAATTTCCATCCCCCTTTATCTGGAAAGTCCCGCTAGATAGGGAACAACACCCATACTGTCATGGCAGAGGACGCATTGGTGCGCGAATCACACCGCAATTTTTTATTGTCGCAGCGGAGTGCTGTTGTTCCGGGAATTTTAGCAGATAGGCAGATGAGGACTTCTGACTTTAATGGCATGTTTCCTATGTGTTAGTGAAGCTGGAGGGTCAGCAAAAGCAATGGGAGCCACTTCATTTAGCTCATGACAGGTTCACTTTAAATTAAAGGAATCCTGTGACAAGAGAATCATGGAAGCTGCCATTGCTGGCCGTTCACTCAGAATGTCAATTGCTTGGCTCTCATGCTTATGTATTGGCTTTATTTTGGGCCATTTTGAACCTTTATTCGCACACAAACGTATGTTTTAGAAGCGTTTTTCATGTGTTTTAAAGCTCTAGGCATTTTTGTTTTGGCCAATGGAAAGCAGTATCATCTGTGACATCATACGTCAGGCCTTGGGCCCTTCGACGGAGGTTGCTAGGAGGAGGAGCACGGCTTCGATCAGCTCTGACACATCGGCTTGAAAAAAGAAGGTATTGCCTTCGAAACGCGTCGCCAGCACGAACCCAGGACCCACTGAGTGTTTTAAACACTCCATCTCTCCACCGAGCCAACTTCTCCTGACCCTTGGGCTCCGCCCCCTCTGCCTCTCCAACACCTCCGCACCGTCATCGGAAGCCGACAGTCTGAGGGCACAGACTCGCCGGACTATCGGGAGGGCCCAGCGTTCATCCACCTCCACTCCGGATCCTCACCCCCCTTCCAGCAGGCATATCAGGGGTCATCACAACACCTCGGCATCTACACTACCCTCCAGCACCGCGTCTCTCCCCAGCGCCGGACACCGCGGACGCCCAGCAGGACTGCCACGCCAGCACCCATCCAGAGGATCATCCTGCAGCCTTCTACATGAGCCCACATCCGTCGTTGAGAGCCAGCTTTCACTTTCCTCGCGGTGAGTTACAAAATCTCTCCTTTCTTGTGCTCACCTCCCTCATCTTACCTTCCTGTTTTTGTGTCACACCACTACGCCACCCATCCCAAGAAGGACCGTCTCCCGCAACTGCTCCATTCCATCTCACGGCCGTCCTAAAAGCGAATGATCCACCTACCATATGTGAGTACATCACTTATCCCTCTCACCAGGCCTCACCACATTTATTGCGCCAAGTAGTGGCGCTTCCGTTCTCCAATTTTTGTTTCCTTTAGTGCACATCCAGCACGACACTCCTGAATCTCCCATTTTGTTTACAGGCTGGAGGTTGCTAGGAGGAGGAGCACGGGTTGCTAGACGCAGAAACACAAAAAACAAATAATCTCCGGTAATAATCCGGTGCTCCCGTTGAAACCTGTGGGACCAAAAACACACGATTCTGCCTGAAAAAAAGCTCATGTGACAAGCGGCGGCATGGCGCTCAGGTGTGAAGGGCGGCCATTCAATATTATGGGAACCTTCATGTTCAGGGCTGTTGCACTTTTCTCGAACAAGTCACTCAGGTGTGAATGGGGCCTAAATGCTGCGTGCGTGCCCCAAAAAAGTGTTCACATAAGACACAGCCAGACTTCTAACATGGCCGGCCCCCATTCTTCTATAATGACAGTGTCAGTGTTGCCGTTCGCTATGTATTCGTCAGTGTGTGAATAAAGCTTGTTTGCAGGCTTCATTCATAAATCCTAGGGATGCCATGGGCACTTCTACCCAATCAGCTGCGAGCTGAGCATTCCCCACCCGCATGTAAACAAAGGGGCGGGATGCTTGTGCCGACATCATTCGCCCTATATGAACACAAAAGGGTAAGTCGTTTTTGGCTGTTTTTTTTTGATCGGGAACCCCTAAAGGAAGTTATCATTAGAGTTAAAGCCAAACTCTGTACCTAGGGGCCCCCGCATGTGTAATTTATTATATGTTTATCTTTTTTCCCCCATGTCTTCAGGCTGGTCATGTGACTTGCAAGGTCCTCTTCCTCTTTTCCTCCGGTGTATAGTCCCCCATTGTGATGAAGTCAGCGCTGCTTTCAGCGATGAAATTGAGTTTGACACTCCTGGTATACTATGTCCAAAGCTGCTGTCCGGATCCAACTCTGCCAAGGGCCACAGTGCAGCAATGGGCTATTTTACAGACCCATCGGCTGTTTATCGGCTGCGGGGGCAACATCTGTGTCTTTAAATCTCATCTCAAGGAAACAGCTGTAAGCGATATGGTATCAGAACTCCACCTATTGCGCACTGAAGACAAATCGTATCAGGGTTCAAATAAAGAGGGGCCGCAGGAAGAGCACATTTTTTGTGCAAAAAATGTGCTCTTCATTATATATGCATTGCCATGGTGCAAGGGGCTTCTGACGTGAAAGGGAGCTGCTGATGTAAAGCGGGACTCTGATGTGAAGGGGGAACTCTAAAGTAGGGAGGGGCTCTGATGCTAAGGGGGGTTCCTAATGAGGGGGTGGGGGACTCTGATGTGAAAGGAAGGGGTTCCTGATGTGAAGGGGTCTCCAGATGTAAAGGGGTACTCTTAATGTGAAAGGGGGTCTTTTGATGTGAAGGGGGGTCTCTGATGTGAAGAGGGAACTCTGATGTTAAAGGGGCTCCTGCTGTGAAGGGGGACTCTAATGTGAAGGGGGCATTTGCAGGTGAAGAGGGCTTTTGATGTGAAAGGAGGGGGCTCTGATCTTATTTGGGGCTCCTGATGTAAATGGGGACTCTGATGTGAAGGGGAGCGGTTCTGATGTAAAGGGGGGCTCTTGATTTAAAGGGGAACTCCATTTTTTTGCAATTTAAACCAGACCACTATCAGGGAGAAAGGTCTGGTATGAATTTTGGAGGGGCCACACGTCGTTTTTTGGACTGCAAAACACAAAGACTGACAGAGCTTCTGTACAGCTGGATTTTAACAATATTCAGCAGGTGGCAAACTCGGCAAGTATGCGGAAAACCGCTATGCGCGCATGCGCACCGCAACTGTACGGAGCTCCGGTCTTTCTGAGCACCGGAAGTGAGGTAGTTAGAGATTTCCATGAGTTGGAGCTTTCCATAGAACACCGGCACAAGTCCAAATACTCACCAACTGTTACTATCACCATTGCAAGACAGAGCAGCCCAATGACAACCAGCACCTGGGGGCAAAAGAGAAAAACCATGTGGGTGAAAAGGTCCGCTATAAGCTTCATACATGGTCACGTGGAAGACACTTTATTGGTAATGGTTTGAATTTCATAAAACATTTTTTTCATAAAACATGTTTTACTGCTGTTTTACATATATCGGTGTCCAGCGATGCACCGATACCGGTATTTCGGTATCGAGTACTCGACGATACCGAGTACCGGAAGCCCCATCCAGAAAGCAATGCGGCGTGTAAAGACTCTGCGTGTAAAGACCCGATTAGCAGGGAAGCCGCCCGCATGCTTCTCGTCACTAGGTGGAGCCGGCTTTCTGGTCAACGCGGAAAGCCAGGCGCTGTGTAATGGTTGGCCTGGCTTCCTGATTGGCCTGGAAGCCGGCTCCATGCTCCCTCGTCATTTGCTCCCTCGTCATGAGGTGACGAGGGAGCATGAAGCCAGCTTCCCAACCAATCAGAAAGCCCGGCGCCATTATTTCTTTATTTGTTATTATTTATTACAGGTATTTATATAGTGCCAACAATTTACATAGTTGCACATTCACATCAAGGAGCTTACAATCTAAGGTCCGTATCTTACATGCATACATTACTTAGAGAGGAGCCAATTAACCTTCCGTCTTTGGAGTGTGGAAGGAAACCAGAGGAAACCCACGCAAGCACATGCAAACTCCTTGCAGATAGTGACCGAGGCCACTAACCACTAGGCCACTGTGCTGCCCTTTACATGGCGCCTGGCTTTTTTTTTTTTTTAAAAGCTTTGTCAAAAATCTTTATTGGCATCACAAATTAGTACAGGCGCTGTGGTTTGCCCATTGTGCTCTTGATGTACAGGGCCCGCACATTCTGCCAATTCTTTTTCAGCAGTGATACCAAGAAGTTAATGGCAAGGTGGACATTGTAGACAAGCTCCTCCTCTGTCATTTTGACATGGCCAACTGCCACAGCCAAACACAGGACCTTTTTCATTTGAAACTTAATGGTGGACTTGACTTCATCAACCTTGGCCACCATGTTCTCATTATGAGTTAACAAAGAAGGACATTTTCCTGCTTTATTCAAACCAGGTCCCAAAATACGAGGAATCTGCTTGATGAGTGATTCAGAGACCAAAAAGGCATCAAACTTCTTAGACAACTTCTTCACCATTTTTTTATTCTTGTTAAGTTTCTTAAGAGCTTCAATGTCCATGTGGGGCAAGTCCACAGCCTTGGCTTCATCACAGTGCTGCTGATCTCCCAAAATGCATACTGAGAATTTGGGCCTTGGTGTAGACTTCAGCCTGACAGTGCCAGAGAAACGCTTGTCCTTTTGGGGGTCATAGTTTTTCAGGCTGATCTGAATTTCCACGCTTTGCAGAAACTTTCTCTTCTTCCTTCTTGCCCCCAGGAGGACCTCCCTCACTGCTTCATGCAGGGTATCCCGAGAAACTTTGCTACTCATCTTGCACTGTGAGCTCCCACCAACCAGAAAGGGCGACGCCTGGCTTTCTGATTGGCCAGCTTCCGATTACACGCTGCCCGGCTTCCTGATTGGCCGGGAAGATGGCTCCATGCTCTCTCTTCACAAGTGACGAGAGAGCATGGAGCCGGGCCTGGAAGAATCGGGCCAGGCATCGGAGCATTTGGGCGATTACGAGTACTCGCCCAAATACTCGGCACCGATACCTATACTAGAATCGGTGCATCACTATCAGCTAGAGCTATTGAGCTCTGTACACAGGCTGTTTACAAGGTAACGAGGAATAGATAATTGATTGCGATTTGTCTGCTTCCGTTTGCTTGACATGGCCACTGACAGCACAAAGATTAAGCCTGCAGATAACTTGGGGGACCTTCCTCGCCACTTTGTCCATCTGCCTGAGCCCTCTGAAATACAGAATTGCACAGCAATGACCATGCTATGCCTGATGAAGGGACCCTGTGTGGCCCCGAAAGCGCTTGTGTAACTGACATGAGTTTGCAATAAAATCTACGAACTTTGATCCTATAAGGATTTGGTGTGCTGGTGACGTTTCTGCAATTATCTATAGGTGAGTGTCGCCGATAGGGCTGTAAACGCACCTCCCGCAGCAGAGTTTGTCAGGCCGAAACCAACAATTACTTTTTTCCCGCCTTTTATAATGACGGTACGGAAGATACATTGCGTTGCAATTAGTTTGCAGGGCACCCCAAATGCAGCTCCGGGCCGCAATGCGATTGACCGCGCCACAACACGCGGTACCGCAATACTGTGCATTGCAGTGCGGTTGAAAAAAGTAGTGCAGGGCAACACAACGTTCCTGCCGCAGTGTAACGCATGGTAGGTGCATTGTGCATGCAGTATATGTGTGAACGGGCCGCGAATGAAGCTTTATTGTCCCCACGTTGTATGACATACTTAGTATGTGGCACATACTGGGTTTTTTATGCTTTACAGGCCACGGACGGGAGCTGATGTTGCAGAAGCTGGGGGACCTCTTTGCCAGTGGTTGCTAGGACCGCCCCCCGGTCATAGCAACCAATTAATGCAGAAGAGGAGGGCCCCTGATGTCATTAGTTGCTGGGACCACCCTGATATGGCAGAGGAGGAGGACCCCTGACATCACTGGTTGCTAGGGCCACCCAGCAGTCCTAGCAACCATTGGCTGCAGAAGAGGAGGGCCACTGATGTCATTGGTTCTTAGGACCACCCAGATATCATGGCAACCAATTACTGCAGAGGAGGAGCACTGGTTGCAAGGACCACCCAGCAGTCCTAGCAACCAATGGCTGCAGAGGAGCAGGACCCCTGATGTCATTGGTTGCTAAGACCACCCAGCGGTCCTAGCAAACAATCACTGCAGAGGCGGGCCCTTGTTGTCATTGGTTGCTAGGATGGCAGTGGTCCTAGCAAACAATCACTGCAGAGGCGGGCCCCTGATGTCATTGGTTGCTAGGATGACAGTGGTCCTAGCAAACAATGACTAAAGAGGAACGCGGTCCAGACACGGACTGATTGCCGACCTGCACTAGGCTATGGCTTGCAGTGGATGCGCCGCCCTTCAACGTCAGCCATAAATGAGTGCAGGTCGGTGGTTGGTCCGGGCCGGATATAGCCTGCGGGTCATAAAATGCCAGGTCTGGTTCTGACGCATTGGCAGCCCATTCAATTACATAAAATGCCTTAACGCACCGCATGCTCACTGGCTTGTATTATTGCAACGCACTAGAGCAGACAGGCATGGGGGCGAGGGGGGGCCACACCATCCATGCCGGGGAATGCTGAGTAGCCCACATGATGGCGCCATTTATTCACAGTGACACGGCAGAGCCACGCTCGATTATAAAAGAAATAGGATTCAAATGCGTATAGTAAACGGGAGGGACTGTTTAGGTTTAGGGGGGTGTTTAATCCATTTCACCCAAAATTTAGGTGAAACATTTCATAACATGCGGACTGTTCCTTTAACCCACGCCCAGTATTTAGTGCACACACCGCTAATCATCTCTAAACCAAGATGTCCGCCCTTCTTAAGTTGCAAAGCTTTGCGGTATGGGACAGTCCTGGGTGTTCCTCCCTGAAACTGTACCGCACCCTTCACCCGAACAGACTTCCATGTTCTTATCACTAAGTGACACCTTATTCCTATGATTACACTCTTCATACAGGGGGGCAGCGTGTAGAGATGTCCAGTTCATGAACGAATCGTTCTTTTGAATCCATTCTATTCACTGAACTGGTGGAGTCGATTCAGCTGAGTGAGCTGATCCGTTTGCAGCAGCTCAGTGTGACGTATAGCAGAGACTCTAGCTAGCAAGCTTGTAATATGACCCTGAGCAGTGGTTCTCAACCTGTGGGTCACGACCCAAAAGTGGGTCGCAACCCACAGTTGAGGGGGTCCCCATGTGCCTTGTGCTGCTCTAGGTAAGAGGCTCCTCAGCCTCCTCCTAGCATGGCAGTGTCAGTTCTCCTAGATGGCGCTGCAGCATCAGCGACCGGAGAGGATCAGAGAGAGGGGAGCAGGCAGGAGTGAGAGGAGGTAAGTGCTTGGGCAACACAGAGCCTGCACTGGGCACCACAGAGAGTCCCACTAGCCACCTGAGAGCCCGCATAGGCTCCCGAGAGCCCACACAGATACTAGTATTGGTGCATCACTAGATTTTACGGTTGGGGGTCACCACAACATGGCAAATGTTACCAAGGGGTCCCAGCCCTAGAAAGGTTGAGAACCACTGCCCTAAAGTGAAAGCCAGGCTTCTGGCAGCCCACCCCTGCAACCAATCACATCTCTGACTCAGTCAGTACACAGAGTCTAATCATATGAGTCGGCTGAGTATACGAATCGAAAGAATCTACTAGTTTAAATAATCGAATGAGTTTACTTAGTTAGTAGACTCATTTGATTCTTTAACTCAGTAAACTCTTTTGATTCTTTGAGTTAGAGTCCCCACCAGTAGAACAATACATGGAATCAATTAGCAGGTTGCAGCAGTGATAAGGGACAGAGAGAGTTTGGATTAGAGGAGATCCTCATTCAGATTGATGGTTTAACCCTTTAGGATCAAATTGGCTTCTCAAGGAAAATTTTTGGTTTTAGTTTTTATTTATTTTATTCTTTTTCACTTAACATTGTTTCACTTAAATGTATTGATAGCGTTAGGATCAATGTACCCCAGGAGCTGCCTGACACACTTCTCTGAATCAGAGTCCTCTGATTCGGATCTTCTATGAAGGTTCAGACAGCTCCTGAGCTTCGGTTCACTGGCTTGTCAGCCGACTCAGCAAGTGAACCGAAGATTCGATTCATGAATCGGTTCTTTTGAATGAACTGATTCAAACGAATCGATTCATTTAAAAGATCCGAACTTCCCATCTCTAGCAGCGTGACGTCAGGTGGCGGGGGTGTGGCCTATCGGTACATCGCTAGAGGACGAAGTCTCCGGGGGCGCTCGGCTGTCTACAACAAAATGGCCGCCGCCTTTTTCTGACACAAGTCAGGGTTTAGGGGCGGGGCCTCCTTGGCTCTCAGCACTCTGGGAAGGAGAACATGGCGGCTCCCTGTAGGTGGTAGTGACCTGTTCTAGCAGCAGAGGTATGAGGGTGGAATGGAAGGCTGTGTGAATGGAATGTGATTAGTTATGTCTGTGAGCACAGAGGAATGGGAGAGATACTCGGATTTGTAGACTTGAAGCTGTTGGTGATATGAGAGGAGTGTGAGGGGAACCTGTCAGATGTGTGACATTGTCAGAGGGTGGAGGAGGCTGGGCAGCCAGTGCTTCAGTAGGGTACCATGGAGGGGCTCCCCGGGTATTGTACGGAGGGGTGTAGTATAGAGGGGGCTCCCCGGGTATTGTACGGAGGGGTGTAGTATAGAGGGGGCTCCCCGGGTATTGTACGGAGGGGTGTAGTATAGAGGGGGCTCCCCGGGTATTGTACAGAGGGGTGTAGTATAGAGGGGGCTCCCCGGGTATTGTACGGAGGGGTGTAGTATAGAGGGGGCTCCCCGGGTATTATACGGAGGGGTGTAGTATAGAGGGGGCTTCCCGGGTATTATACGGAGGGGTGTAGTATAGAGTGGGCTCCCCGGGTATTATACGGAGGGGTGTAGTATAGAGGGGGCTCCCCGGGTATTGTACGGAGGGGTGTAGTATAGAGGGGGCTCCCCGGGTATTGTACAGAGGGGTGTAGTATAGAGTGGGCTCCCCGGATATTGTATGGGGGGGGATCCCTGGATATTGTATGGAGGGGGCTCCCCGGATATTGTATGGAGGGGACCCCCCCGATATTGTATGGAGGGGACTCCCCGGATATTGTATGGGGGGGACTCCCCGGATATTGTATGGGGGGGGCTCCCCGGATATTGTATGGAGGGGGCTCCCCGGATATTGTATGGGGGGGGCTCCCCGGATATTGTATGGGGGGGGCTCCCCGGATATTGTATGGAGGGGGCTCCCCGGATATTGTATGGAGGGGGCTCCCGGGATATTGTGTGGAGGGGGCTCCCCGGATATTGTATGGGGGGGGGGCTCCATGGGATGACATCTTGGTGAAGTATTTTTACATTTCTCTGATATTTGTTTTGTGTTCCAGATGTGGGCTGTGATGCAGTTGCTGGGGGTCGGTCGCTCTGCGTGCCCGCTGGTCTCCCAAGCCTCCCGCTCTTTTTCTCTTGGTAAGTTTACCATGTACAGTTCGAGGTGTCATCCTCCGTTGTCCCTTTGTGGTCTGTAGTGCCCATGTCACTTCCTGGAGAAGTGGGTGCTGCCTATTGGCTGTTAGAAAGATCCTATCACATCTGGCAGTGGGTTCAAATGCTCCCGCCTCCTGTCACCATACATCTTTCCAGCGCATGAACCGATTGGCTTCCTGTGCTGCCTTTTATCACGCCATCTCTCCTGTACAGGGACTGATACCGGGTCTAATTCAGGTGCTTGCATTCAATAAATACATTTAACCACTTGCTGACCGGGGTGTTTATACCCCCTTCCTGTCCAGGCGGTACTTTGACTGACGTTTATTCCGTCATGCAGCGCTGTACTGAAATGAATTTTACACCATTTTTTGGGGACAGATAGAGCTTTCTTTTGGTGGTATTTAAGCACCACTACCTTAAGACCCCTAATGTCACCTAGGGACCCCAAGAGAAGCTGATGAAGCAGAGAACTGCTTCACCAGCTTCTCTCCGGTTTCTGTACCGAGAAGTGACACTGAATGCAGGAAGTGATGTAATACGCATCACTGCCTGCATTCCGACGAGGAGAGGAGATCAAACGGAGATCGTGTACTGACCTCCGTTTGATCTCCGGCCGCAGAGCTGCTGCGCTGGTACCGGGCTCACACCGGGAACAGCGGAGCCCGGGATCGCCAGCGGCGACGGAGGGGAGGGGCCGCACACCCGACCATATTACAAGCGATCGGGCGTCTCCACAGGCGCCTTAACGCTTGTATGTAAACAGCTTTTGCTGGCTGTTTACATTCAAAGCCGTTTTCTCGCGGAACGGGATAGGATGTCTAAAGACGCCCACCCGCCCTCAAGAAGCCGCTGTCCGGCCGTTTAATTACAAAGGCCGGACAGCAGGTAGTTAAAGGAGAACTATGAGGTGAGTGCTTTTCACTCACCTCATAGTTCTAGCCGACCTGTGACAATGAGACTGTCACAGGTCAGCTCAGTAGATCGGGAGGTGAGCGAACACATACCGGCGTTCGCTCACCTCTCGATCCTGTCACGGCTCTCTGCCGTGACAGGGGAGGGGCTGGATTCCCCTCTCCGATCTGCCAGCGCTGACTGGCGGAACGGACGGGGGAGGGGGCGGGTACAGCTGGCTCTGCCTCTAGATAGGCAGAGCCAGCTGTCACTCACGCAGCTGGGTGGATCCCGTCATCTACGTCGGGATCCGCTCCGGCTGCGGCGTCTCAGTATACCGCGAGCTGTACTGAGCTTAGGGTAACGGGAGGACGCTAGTTTGTGTCCTCCCGTTACCCTAAGGAGAACTATGGGGAAAAACACTGACCCCATAGTTCTCCTTTAATAATGTCCACCCCACTAGTTCATCATTACAACTGAGACATGAAGCACAGGAAGGCAAAATTGCTGTTGGTAGACAGGCTCAGCGTCAGTGTGCTTTCCGCCTGGCCCTGTCGCAGCAGCTGGGGCCTTATACTGTTGTTGGGCGGAGCCTGATGGGAATGCTGAGGTGCTAGTTCCCCATCAGATCTGCTCTGCTGTTGAGCAGCAGGCTGGCTATGGAAACTACCCAATCCCTACAGCAAAGTGGACCTGATGGGGAACTAGAACCTCAGCAACCCCATCAGGGAGCAGATCAGAGTTGGTCTTAATTACTGCCAGCTTTCTGTAAACTTGCCGTAGTGACAGATTCCTCAAGTGGTGCAAATAAGAACTTCCTGTATCTGTCACAAGTCTTTTCAAAGGTCCATTCTGCCAAAAGAGAGGCGGTAATGTTTTACTGAATTCCCGCAGTGTTGAATACAATGCAATTTGATCCTGCCCCAAAACGCAGGGGGGAAGTTTCACAGCGATCACGGTGGGTTCCAGCAGCTACCGCTCTGGAACGCACACGCTTTCGGTGTGACCAAGCCCTTAAAGGAGAACTATGAGGCGAGTGCTTTTCACTCACCTCATAGTTCTAGCCGACCTGTGACAATGAGACTGTTACAGGTCGGCTCAGTAGATCGGGAGGTGAGCGAACACATACCGGCGTTCGCTCACCTCTCGATCCGGTCAAGCGCGTGTTTATGCGCATATACGCACGTATACGCGTGTACATGCGTACAGCACATAAAAAATTCCATTACGAGTGATGCATTCTGGGATTGCATATAGTGCACGCATATACGCTCGTATATACGCGCGTATACGCAATATACAATTTTGCTTGCGTTGTGTGTGAATGAGGCCTTAACCTTTGCAATATAAGAACACAATATTTGTTTTACAAAGAAACATGTCAAGCAGTTTCTGGCCACTAGATGGAGCCGAGGAGCTTGGAAAATATTTCAGTATTCCATGACATCATTCAACCTGAAAAGAGAATTCATTAGGAAAGTTCATTTTTTCCATTATTCCACCAAATAACGTTCACCCTGTAAATTGTTTATTAATAGACTCCTAAATGCAGAGGTGGGCAACCCATACACTGCAGCTGGTGTGGAGCCAAAATTCCCAAGAGGCATTAACTGACCCCGACATCCACAGACATGACTCCCAGATGCAAAGGCATGATTGGAGTTGTAGTCTCACCACAGCGGGCGTGCCGAGGTTGCCTACCGTTGCCTTAGGCCTTGTTCCCACCAAATGCAGAGCAGATCTGCATGACTTTCTGCACTCGCAGTGCAGTGGGTTGTGCCGTGTTGTTTGCCGCGTTTTTGATGCTTTCTGGGCCGTTTTTGGTTAAATAAAAAAAAATTATTTTTAGTTTAAAATGGGCTTTCAGTGCGTTCCAGGCATTTGCATGCGTTTTTGATGAGTTTGCATGGGTTCCAGAGCAGGTAAAATAGGGCCTGCTGCAGTTTTGTTTTTTTTACCTGCTCTGGTACTGAACGCTGCGATGTGAACTGGAGCTAAAAATACCTTTGGAATACATTGGACGCAGTTTTGATCCGGTCTGTAACTGCTCTGCTCCTGGAACGCGATTGGTGTGAACGAGGCCTTAATGTATATAAAGGACAAACTTTTCTCCGGGTTTGGAAAGAGTGGGGAAGGATTATACCTACTGCCAGGTTTTCATTATTGCTTAGGTCCAAGGTCTTACTTTCGGGGAAACACGGTAGTGATGAGGGAGCATGAAGACGGCTAATCGGGAAGCCAGGTGGTGAGTCATTATACGCTGCCCGGCTTCCTTACTGGGACCTTCGATATGGGCGAGTGCCGGAAAAACATTATCGGTACTCGATCCCGAAAAAACGTTATCAGTTCACCCCTACTGTTACCATTGTCACTGTGACGGAAAGTGGAGTGTTCACCAGAACAACAGGTGAGGGGAAATCTTCAAATGGGGACACCGGTTATGGGGAGAGGGGACTTCCTTCATTTTGGGGAGATTTACCCTTACTTGCTAATGGGTCTCCTGGACAGGAAGTGAAAATAATTTCCCTAAGAGAACACAGACTGCAAAGAACAACCTGGAAGGGATTTAACCGCTCCTTAACAAAAACAAAACAAAAAGCTTTTGGCTGTACATAGAAATGTATTTGGGGATCAGTTATTGTAGTTGCGATGCTGTTTGTGGTGCTCTAATAAGTACGCGCACCGCTCTCCGTACAGTCTTTGACTCTTCTCTTATTGCATTGTTTACAGGATGCAGAAATCTGGCGCGGAACTTTGTACCGCAGCCCAAAAACAATGACCGCTGGATCGAGAAGAGGGCCCTGTTTGGAGTATATGATAACATTGGCATATTAGGTGAGTCCATTCAGGATCTACATAAAGGGGGTCTTTGTTTTTTTTTTTTTTGTCTTTTAATCTCTGTGATCAAGTGTCACCGGGACAGGAAGTGAGGAGACATTTTTCACAATTGGGGACATGACAAAAAAAACCTTTAGAAAATCTTATAAACCTTTCCTCGGTATTAAAAACAAATTGGCTAAAATGTATCTTTCTCCATGCTTTGTTTACTTCATGACGTCATTGGCTCTTTTTTGGCATAAGTGGCATATTGCATCTAGTCCAATATAAAGCTGAACTCCGGCCTTCCCTTCAGTCTTGCACAGTTGTACCGGCTCCTCTCCTGGACTGAAATTGCTTATTTTGATGATTTTACTGCCCACTGGGAGCTTCTCACTGCAGCAAGTCAGATAGAGCCCACCTCATTTCTTGGTTGGAGGGCATCCAGCCTCATGTCAGAGCCTCCAGCAAGGAGAACAGACGGCAGTGACTTCACCAAATCTCCTGAGACTGGCAGTCCGAGGCAGCAGTACCTGAGATCTCACAATGCAGATATATACAGCGATGAGGCTGCAGGCAGAGGAGCGGTGCCTAGGCACTCTCGCATACCAGGAAGTGCACTGCTAGTGTTCAGGAGGAGGTAGAAAAGGTAGATATTTCAGGGTGCTACTTGGGGACAATTAACATTTCCAAAATGTCCCTCTAACATAGCAGATCTTCTGTTTTCTGAGTTCAGTTTCACTTTAACGGTTGAGCTCTGTTGGCTTCTGCGTGAAGCATCCCAGAGTTTCAGGGTTCAAAGATCAAATGTGGGGGAGTGAGACTACACACGGTTCAGTGGAGCTAGCTAAAATAAATTCTAAGGGCATCATTTTCTGCATTCCATAGCAACAACAAAAGACACGAGGAAGGGAGGACACGATTTATAAATAGTCTGAGAGGTGGGAGCGGACCGGTACATGGTATGCACATCAGGAGTCACATCTGCTATCATTTATACATTGTCATTGCCTAGAATTTCTATTTTTAACACACGATATTACTTGTAGATGATATTCCCGAGATCTCCTAGCTCCAGGGATGAGTGGTGGTGCCCTTCCAGCTGTCACGTTGCCTTATTATTCATACAGGTCAGCATTGAGCTCTTCAGGACTCGTCTTTGTTTGGAAAACCTCACGTCCATCCCGACATTGGAAAAGCCATTCAGTATAGTAATGTGAACAGATACTCCAAAAACATGCAGGATACTGAATGCTGCTCTGGGGCACAGTGGCTTAGTGGTGAGCACTTCTGCCTTGCAGCACTTGGGGTCTCCGATTCAAGTCCCGGTCAGGACACTATCTGCAAGGAGTTTGTATATTCTCCCTTTGCTTGCGTTGATTTCCTCCCACACTCCAAAGACACGCTGGAAGGTTAATTGGCTCCGGTCTAAATTGGCCCTTCTATGTGTGCATGTGAGATAGGGACCTTAGATTGTAAGGCTCTGTCCTTGGACCCCTCCTCTTCTCTATCTACACCTCCTCCCTTGGTCAGTTAATAACCTCACATGGCTTCCAATACCATCTCTATGCCGATGACACTCAAATCTATCTTTCTACTCCGCAACTCTCCCCCTCAGTGTCCTCTCGTGTTACTAATCTACTAACTGACATATCCGTCTGGATGTCACAACATTTCTTAAAACTCAATCTATCAAAAACTGAGCTCTTGATATTTCCTCCTGCCCGTGCACCTTCCCCCAACTTTTTCCTTGAGATTGATAACACAACTGTCCACCCCTCCCCCCATGCCAAGGTCCTAGGTGTCATCCTTGACTCGGACCTCACCTTTCTTCCCCACATCCAATCGCTATCCAAATCCTGCCGCCTTCACCTTCATAACATCTCCAAAATACGCCCCTTCCTCACCAAAGAAACCGCAAAATTACTCATCAACTCCCTTGTTATATCTCGTCTTGAATATTGCAACTTCCCTCCTCATAGGCCGACCTCTATACAGGCTCCTCCCCCCTTCAGTCTATCATGAATGCTGCTGCCAAACTCATTCACCTAACCAACCGCTCAGTGTCTGCAAACCCCCCTCGGCCAATCCCTACACTGGCTTCCACCCCCGCCCCCTCTGCCAATCCCTCCACTTGCTTCCACTCGCCCAAAGGATCAAATTCAAAATATTAACAATCAGTTACAAAGCCATCCACAACTCCGCCCCCAGCTATATCTCCAACCTTGTCTCAAAGTATCACCCTAACCGTCAGCTCCTCCCAAGACCTCCTGCTTGCCAGCTCCCTTGTCAACTCCTCCCATACTCGTCTCCAGGACTTCTCTAGAGTCTCTCCCATCCTCTGGAATTCTTTACCCCAACCTGTCCGTCTGTCGCCCACCTTGACTGCCTTTAGGCATTCCCTAAAGACTCATCTCTTCAGGGAAGCCTATCCCACCTCAACCTAACTGCTCAGCCATCACGTTCTCAAACAATTCATCCCCACACAGCTCCCTCCTCATGTACATCCCCCTCCATTTTGGATTGTAAGCCCTCAGGGGCAGGGCCCTCCTTACCATCTTGTCTTGATTTGCATTGTGACTGTAATGTCTTCCTTATATTGTAAAGCGCTGCGCAAACTGTTGGCGCTATATACTGAGTGACCAGATTATTATGACCACCCCATCAGTACTTCGTTGGTCCGCCTTGTGACTCCACGAGATGATGAAAGGTGATGTGAGGAATCTGACACGGCACTGTTGCCCTTCTGTTGTCTTGTACCAGTCTTGCCACTCTCCGTTCTGCCCTAACATTGACTAGTCGCTGACGGACACAATTCGCACGTTCAGACCCAGATTTGTGGCTGACAGTCCGGTCTTTAAACACTTTAACAATGAGCCCCACTTAAACATTTATGGAATTCTGCTGTTTTGCTGATACTCGCTCCATGGTTCCGAGCGCCAACAATCATCCCACGTTCAAAGGCTGTTAAATCGCGTTGTTTCCCCGTATCTTCAGAAACAAATCACTTCTACTGTCGTGGTAAACAACCTGATTCCCTATTTATAATGGTCTGGCCCTCTAGCAACTTCAGCGCCAAATTATAGCTAATTTGCCTACAAACGTCAGGTGGTCATAATAATCTGGCCACTCAGTGTATAAATCCTGTAAAATAATAATATGTAAAGTGCTGTGTAAATTGACAGTGCCATATAAATACCTGTAAGAAAGAAGTAAAGTCCCCTTTTTTTAAGCTTTGGATCGAGTATGGAAGTATTACAACCTAAATGAAGTGTTTTACTGCTGCCTCTGCTGGCATTGGATTTTCCCCTTCCTTCCTGTCCAAAGACGCTATAGGACCTAAGCTGAGGTCAACCAAAACTGAAACCCTTTTGGGTAATGTCCCCTTCAGAATGGCAGTGGTGACATTATATTAGTGACACAAACTAGCGTCCTCCCGTCACCCAAAGCTCAGTATACCGCGAGCTACAGCTCCCGGTATACTGAGACCGCCGCAGCCGGGACCGATCCCGACATTACTGTCTGGATCCACCCAGCTGCATGAGTGACAGCTGGCTCTGCCTATCTAGAGGCAGAGCCAGCTGTACCCGCCCCCTCCCCCGTCTGTTCCGCCAGTCAGCGTTGGAGGATCGGAGGGGGGGGGGATCCCTGCAGGGAGCCGAGAGAGACAGTCACGGCTCTCTGCAGGGACAGGATCAAGAAGTGAGCGGACGCCGGTATGTGTTCTCTCACTTCCCGATCTATTGAGCCGACCTGTGACAGTCTCATTGTCACACGTCGGCTCAAACTATGAGGCTGAGTGAAAATCACTCGCCTCATAGTCCTCCGTTAAACACTTGTAAACGCAGGAGAAAGTGATCTTCTCATCCCACCCAGGCACAAATTCACTTATAAATCTTGTGGATAGCCTTCCCAGAATAGTGGGAGGTGTTTTTTGCCGTAACGCACATGTGTTTGGAATGGATTGTCCAAAAACCTCGAAGTGTGATGGTCAGCTGACCGCAATAAAAACCTTGGCCTATCTGTATGTCTTTGGGGACGCTTGTTCCAGGGACATATGAAGGGGAATTTCCTCTCATTTCCTATTGTGTCTTCGAGGCAGGAAGAATCTGTAGGCCTGTCTTCAGACAAATATTGATGGGCCACGCGGTCTTCTTCTGCTGTCCGTAATCTCTGTTCCTGAACTTGGAAAATCCCTTTTAATTCACTCTCGTCTTTTCTATTACAGGCGACTTCAAAGCCCACCCCAAGCATCTGATCATAGGACCGTCGTGGCTGCGGGGCTGGAAGGGAAACGAGTTGCAGAGGTGCATTAGGAAGAAGATGATGGTCGGAAGCAGAATGTTCTATGAAGATAGACACAACTTAGATAAAAGGATCAGATACTTGTACAAGAGGTTCAACCGCTACGGAAAGCACCGCTAAGTGTTGTCGTTTCTATAGCGACAAATAAAATGTCATTCTTTCGTATTATTGTGTTTTCACTTTCTTTGTGAACATTCCATTATCTGCTCACGCTTCTCGTGTGTTTAAAGCCGGGGTAGCCAATCTTTGGCCCTCAGGCTGCGGCGAAACTACAAATTCCGTCATGCATCTGCCTCTGGAAGTCATGCTTGTGGCTGTCATTGTCTTGCAATGCCTTATGGGACTTGTAGCTCCACAACAGCTGGAGGGCCGAAGTTTGGCTAACCCTGCTTCTTACCTGAAACAGGCAAAGGTGGGACACTTCCAAGTAGTGAAAGTGTGTGTGCTGTTAAGCTCCACCCCCATCTTAATATTGGTCCATCAGTACTATGGAAAGCCTGTCTAGCCTATAGAAATATTTAGACGGTAGGGAGGGGTGGGCAAGCTCCACCCCCATACTGCTATTGGTCCATCACTACTATGGAAAGCCTCTCTAGCCTATAGAAATATTTAGATAGTATGGATGCACCGATACCGAGTATTTGGGTGAGTACAGGTACTCACCCAAATGCTCCGGTACCTTCCCCAATACCTGAACTTCCATTCAGATGAAGATTTCCTCTGACCGGCAGTGCTGTAGGGAAACATGGAGCCAGCTTCCCGTGCGATCAGAAAGCTGGGAGACCAGTCATTACTCGCCGCCTGGCTTCCTGATTGGCCTGGAAGCTGGCTCGATGCTGATTGGCTGGGTAGCCGGTTTTCCGGTCAAGTTCAATCAAGCAGGTTAGACCACATGAAGCCAGCTTCTCAGGCAATCAGATTGTCCGGGAAGCTGGCTCCTTGGCGGCGGAAGCACCACTATCGGTACTCGTTATAGACGAGTGCTGAAAGCAAAGTATCGATACTCGTACTCAATACCGAAAAACCAGTATCGGTGCATCCCTAGTAGGGAGGGGTCGGCAAGCTCCACCCCTATATTACTATTGGTCCATCACTACTATATGGAAAGCCTGTCTAGCCAATAGACGGTAGGGAGGGGTGGACAAGCTTTAGCACTATCGGGGACACACTGAAGCACTTTTTTTAGCCTTGACAAGAAGGGAAGGTTTGGAAAACTGATGAAAGTATATTTACCTATAGGTGCCTTCCATTGGAAAGATTTACCTTTTACTTCCTGTTCTTAAGACCCAGCAGGAACTCAAAGGAAGTACTCCCTCAGACAGATGTTTCCTGCAACAAGTGTCACTGTTGGATGATTTTCCCCACCGATCCGGTGAAAACTGTAAACTTTTGGGTTTCTGTCCTGCTGCCAAATAGAGAGGGGGGATCTTCTCAGCAGGGACACACACACACACACCAATAAAAGCGGCTTCCAGCTGCTGATCTCCCCACCGATCACTGGACCCGGAAGTGATGCGTATTACATCACTTCCGGTGTCACTCTTTACAGTCTCCGACTCTTAGAGCCAGGAGGAGAAGCTGGGGAAGCAGATCTCTGCTTCCCCAGCTTCTTTGGGGTCCCTAGGGGACATTAGGGGTCTGAAAGACCCCTGATGTCTCCATAAAGAGGACCTGTCGCACCCTATTTGCTATTACATAGGGTGCTTGTTAGCCCCCTTATGTGATCGCAATAAGGTTAGTGTAAAAAAAAAAAGTGTTTACAAATTAAAAAAATGAAAGGAACATAAAATTAAAAAAATGCAGAATTTTTTTTATAGTCCCCACCCCCCACGTGCACGCATATACACACACAAACACGTGTCGGTGCGCCTACGTGTGAAAAAGACAATTGCGCTACGCATGTTGCATATCTCTGTGAATGTTGTAGGGAGATGAATAATTCTAGAGCCATTAATCACTGTTAGCACTAAACGAATGAGCGGTAAAAGCATTTAAATTGTTCCCTTATGGGAAATTTGGGGTATTGAAGTTTTTTGCGGCTTCACGGGCGAATGCAATTTTAAGGCTTGACATGTTTGATATCTAATTACCCGGCGTGACCCCGTCTTTTATATTTTACCAAAATATTGGGTATTATATTATATTTCCGTGCATTACATTTGAATTCAGTTTAATTTGTCCTAAAAATACCGGTTTGATAAACATTTGCACAAAAACCGTGTGACATAAAAATTGCAACTAGCATTTTTTTTTATTCTACAAGGCCTCTGTTTTCAGGACATAGATCATTGTCTGGGGGTCTGAAGCGGTTTTCTGGCCATAAAATTCAGATTATATCATGTGGCAGCACGGTGGCATAGTGGTTAGCGCTTCTACCTTCCAGCACTGGGGGGTCCTTGGTTTGAATCCTGGCCAGGTCACATTCTGCAAGGAGTTTGCATGTTGTCCCTGAGCTTGTGTTGTTTTTCTCCAGGTACTTCGGTTTCCACCAACACTCCTAAAGGTGCCCACACACCTTGCGATAATCGTACGATAATGGCGGGAGATCCCGCGATCGTACGATTATCGTAAGGTGTGTGGAAGCCGTGCGACTTCTACTACTGTAAGGTCGCACGACTTTTATCTTAGGAACATGTTCGAAAACCCGCCGAGAATGTTACGATGTTCGGCGGGTGTGTAGCATGTTCGTAAGATAAAAGCCGGACGGGCCGGTGTGCGCAAGCGCACACTGCCCGTTCGGCATTGCGGTCATCGGAGGCCCTCCCCTCAGGGGGGTGCGGCTTGTCATCATCGCAAGTATGATCTGCCTGTCCAAGATGGGCAGATCGTACATTTTTTTAATTACCTTACAACCATGGCAAGACAAAAGTCTTGCCATGGTTGTAAGGTGTGTGCCCAGCATAAGACATGCCGGTAGGTTAAAGGAGAACTATGGGGTCAGTGTTTTTCCCCATAGTTCTCCTTGGGGTAACGGGAGGACACAAACTAGCGTCCTCCCGTTACCCTAAGCTCAGTATACCGCGAGCTACAGCTCGCGGTATACTGAGACGCCGCAGCTGGAGCGGATCCCGACGTAGATGACGGGATCCGCCCAGCTGCGTGAGTGACAGCTGGCTCTGCCTATCTAGAGGCAGAGCCAGCTGTACCCGCCCCCTCCCCCGTCCGTTCCGCCAGTCAGCGCTGGCAGATCGGAGCGGGGAGAGGGGAATCCAGCCCCTCCCCCTGTCACGGCAGAGAGCCTTGACAGGATCGAGAGGTGAGCGAACGCCGGTATGTGTTCCCTCACCTCCCGATCTACTGAGCCGACCTGTGACAGTCTCATTGTTACAGGTCGGCTTAGAACTATGAGGTGAGTGGAAATCACTCATGTCATAGTTCTCCTTTTAATTGGCTCCTCTCTAAGTTTTCCCTCTATGTATCTATGTGATGTAGGGACCTTAGATTGAAAGCTCCTTGAGGGTAGGGACTGATGTGAATGTGCATCTATGTAAAGTGCTGCGTAAATTGTCGGCACTTTATAAATACCAATAATAAATGTGTGTGCAAATGTAAGAAATTTGCCCCGGGCAGCGAGTGGTTAAAGGAAAAGGTCATCATATATGAAAAAAAACTAAGTGCAGAACTTTATTAACATGAACAGAATTATTTACAAATGGACCGTGCGAATGTTTGTATATACACGCGTTGTACAATTAGATCTCTCTGGAAAATTCCAGATTTCAAGGAACCAATAAAAGGGCTGTACATAGTTATTAACATTTTTCCGGAGTGTAGGCTGGTATCCAATAGAATCTTCTCTGTTCACGAAACAAATATACATCTGAACATTTGCATACATATAGAAAAAAACGTACTCTTCATTAAAGTTTTATTTATTGTTAAAGGAGAACTATGAGGGGAGTGCTTTTCACTCACCTCATAGTTCTAGCCGACCTGTGACAATGAGACTGTCACACGTCGGCTCAGTAGATCGGGAGGTGAGGGAACACATACCGGCGTTCGCTCACCTCTCAATCCTGTCACGGCTCTCTGCCGTGACAGGGGGAGGGGCTGGATTCCCCTCTCCCCGTTCCGATCTGCCAGCGCTGACTGAGCTTAGGGTAACGGGAGGACGCTAGTTTGTGTCCTCCCGTTACCCTAAGGAGAACTATGGGGAAAAACACTGACCCCATAGTTCTCCTTTAAAGTCCAACTTTTTTTTTTCCATTCCAGACAGGAAATCAGAGAAAAACTGTAAGGAAAAAGATCTCATCAGCTGACCCCAGAACAGGTATCTCAGTGAAGAGATTATCTCATATGTCCTGTTGTTATTACAGTAGTCGGATTTGCCGTCACTGGGATAGAAAGTGAAGGTGAATTTCTCTATCGGTATCAAAAACTGGCCTAGGTTCCATCCCTTTTTCTTTAAGTTTCAGATGGAGTAGACAAAGCACAGGTTCACTTTAAGGGGTCTATTTTCAAACAGTTCCTTCATATTACAATTCAATGCATCATGGACTCTAGATGGCGTTTCCCAGTTTGAATGTACTTGTAATAATACATTATGGCCACTAGATGGAGTAGAAGAGCAGAGGAAATAAATACTTCTTTCCTATGCTCCACAGCACCATCTAGCAGCCGTCATGTATTATTACAACACTACATTCGAAATGGGAAAAAATTAATACAGAGCATTTACAGGTTTATTTACAAAAGGGTGAAGTTTGGAGAAGTGAACAATCTAGGACAACATAGCTGAAGTGAAATGAATTGGAGAATTTTTCCAAATCAGCTATGTTGTCCTAGGATGTTAATTCTACTGCCTTCTCCAAACTCTTCACCCTTTTGTGAATAACCCTGATATTTTTGGCATTATTTGCCCACAATGAACATTCACAGATATTTGCAGGGTGAAGGGCCCTGCACATTATTCATAAACAGACCCCTAAATAAACCATTTCCTTCAGAATGCTGCAACAGAGCACTGTTAAAAAATTATTTTGCGTAAAAAGTCAAACAAATGAATGTTCAGCTCCAGCGAACATCTTTAAAGTAGTTACTAGAACAGGTATTCATTGCAGCACCGTGTAACTAAAAAATGTCCTGTGTTGAATGTGCAAAAGCTCTCCGAAGCTGCAACAAGCCATTGCGTCCATCATATTAACCAATATTGTGCTGGCCTCCTGCAACTGTGTATTGATAGCCAAGTCTAAGCACAACAAACTGAGAAATAAATAACATGTAAAAAAAAGTATTTTCTAAGCCGACTTAAAAAAAATGAAGTCCGAGCAGGGCAGGATTTTCCACAGGGCCAACCAAGGCCCGGCCTTGGTGCAGCAGGGAGTAGAGGGGCAGCAGGGGTGTGGAATTCCGATCTCCCGATGCCCAGGACATGCAGTTCCGGGTGGGTAGTTGTTTTCTACATTTAGCCCTGCTTTGGGCAAGCAGAGCTAAATGTGCAGCGGGGGAAGCCGCCGCTTGTTTTGTACAAGTGATCCGGCGATGTCGCCGAGATCACTTGTATGCAGCCTGCAGGTCTGCCATTCTCCATGAGGTGGGGTTGGCGGGTAGGGAGGCACATTGAAGAACCTGGCCTTGGGGCAGCAGAGAGAGTAAATCCGGCCCCGAGTCCGAGGATTGGTTGGCCTAACCTATTTACAAATGCAAGCTGAGACTAGCTTAGATACATGACTTTAGCAGCAGAATGACTTGACCCGAACCATTGACTCATTCTCACCTTATAGATAGGTGCCCAATGGTGGCCATCCACTGGCTTTTCTTGGAGAGACACCAGTGTAGAAGCAGAAGCCTTTCTTCTGTGAGGCCAATTCAAAACCAAGGACGATATAGTTAGAAACCTATTACCCTACTAGTGTAGTGTAAGCACCCAGAGGGGGCCTACACAAAATCCAAGCATGCAGAGTCCTAAAGGGCTTGATCTCAGAACTCCTGTATGGCAAGCCAAGAGCTCTAAACAGTTGGCCACCATGCTGCCTAGCTATGTAACGTTACATAAAATGCTGGTTAGCCTTCAATGGTGACTCTTAAGTTCTCCTTTGTATCCAATTGCAAAGTAAGGAATACGTTTTTTTATTCTTGATCATCTGCACTCAAGATGGCCACTGTTGGGTACATCTCATACACGGGGAGATGTCACTATCTTGCCCTGAAGAAGGGACCCTGCATGGCCTGAAAACATTGGCTCGTACGACGCATGTTTCGTGAGTGCTGGTGATTTTGCATTTGACATTTGCCCCTTAATGTTCAGCCACATCTTATAGTGTAAGACTTGTCCCCCTGAAGTAAACACGTCCTAAGGATTTATTTTCCTTGCATAGAGATTGGTCCAGTGATACCCGATGACCATCATTTGAATATAGTTATACTTGGCGCAGTGTGGATTGCACCGAGGTACTACATTCCCCCAGACCCCCTAATCTGTGCTACACCTCCCTCCTCCCTGGCCAAGTGGGTTCGTGCACAGGCCAGCAACTAGCAGCAAAGATTCAAAGGGTCAGACCACCAAAACATTTTTTACTTTGGTAAACTGAGTCACCTTCTGGCCTGTCCACATTGAGATAATTCTTCCACAGTTCCTTGCTATGTTCCCGTCCACGTTGGAGTTTTGGGTGTACCTACTCATCTTATTGCAATCTCCACATTATGAAGTAAAGAAAGACCTTCTCTGGTCCTCCCCTTTCCTGTCTTTCCTGACCCTGCTCCCAGCACCTATTTTTTAAATATTTCCTGTATCAAGCCAACTGTTATATTGCTAGTCATGTGACAAATGGGGTGCTCCTCCTGCTCTGGCCGGCAGATGGTCCTTATTCTCTGCTGCACTACACTGTGAGCCTAGGTCAAAGTGATGGACTCACAGAAAGCCAGGTGACTGACACTCAACCTAGAAGAAGATTGGCACTGGATAACAGAGTGCCTACAAGGGACGGTGCAGGAGAGAAGGTAATAATGGAAACGTAAGCTACTTTTTACAACTGGAGTTGTGCTCAAGAGGGTTCCATGTTAAACCGACAACTGGTGTGCAGGCCTGGAAACCCAAGTGTAGGTCTATTACCAGGACAAAAGAAACGTGATTAATCTGTCCAGCATCTACCAACAGCTGTGGGTGGACTTAGCAACAGAAGGTGCTAAAAGGGCCCCAAGATCTTTACCAAGTCTGATGCCCTCTGCTTACATAGGCTTGGGTCACTGAACCGAAAACCTGACTTTGCTGAAAAAAGATGGCTTTCTAGTGAATCATGTGCATGATGGGTGACAAACATCCACATTGGTGGAAAGAATTGGTCACCATCATTAAGGCGAGCTACAGATTGTTAGGCAGTATGGCTTGTGTTCCCAAAGAACTTTGCAGATGACATCATAGGTTCAGTAGGGCCAAGGCACAAATGAAGATTAAACAGAACTATGTTAATATAAAGTAATTCCATGGTTTTTGAAGTCCTTCAATACAAAATGTCCAAGAAGGTCACAAATACTCCTCAATTTTTTCTATACACCCCCCTAAACTAATCTCTCGTAGGATGTTGAACAACTGGTCCCGTTTGGTGGTGGGGCAGCCCTCCCGTGTGATCCAGACCTGGAGCATTGCGTACTGAGCGTCTTTGTAATGTAGTCTGTAGTCTTGCTCACAGGATTCGATGGTATGGTTGCTCAGGCCCAGGCGCCGGACAAACTCCCTCCAGCGAGACATCGGGATGTTTTCAATTATGGCGTACACCAATTTCGGGTCTAAGGGAAGATTTAAAAAATTGAAGAAATTACAATGTTGCATTTCATTCTGATATAAGTATAGCAAGAGACCTGTCTGTGTTAGGTTTCAGGTTAGGTTTAGATACTTTCATAATAGTTATTAAAGCCTAACTAGATCCATTCTTGTCAGTTTTGGGTAGAATGAGGAAGCATTTCTGACAGACTTCATTTCTTTCTGTGTACCCATGGAGAAGATTTCTCCCCACTTCCTGTCCCTGTGATATCCGTACAAGGAACGGAACATTGTTAGATGTTCTAACTCCTCTTCACTCTGCTACAAGATCTGTTTTTGCCTTGGTGGGACTAATATTATGGCAATGCTACCACGTCCCTTTTTACAATCTACCATGAACATACCATGAATCACGTGGAACTTTAAGGTGCCGATAATCAATCATATATAAACCAACAAGAAGTGAAAGGGAAATAAACAGTCCTAACAGGAAGTAAGGGGGAATCTCTCAACAGTCATACTTTAAGAATCCTCACAGATGCATAAGATGCATCACACACTGGGATAGAGAATGGGGTAGATTTATCCGTAACAAAATTCCCAGTTCTATTGAAATTCCATGGCCATTACAAAGCCTAATGATGATGCCACTCTACAGATGGCTTCTTTATGGCGCTGACTGGGGAAGTAATTGGGGAATCCATCTGGGAGAGAATGACACTATTGTTGATGGAGTTCTTGCAGGAATAAGTTATTGCACTATTCCAGTGGAGTCCCAAACATATATAAGAAGGTGGCAGGTTATCCAACCCATGAGATTGTCTAGGGATGGTCACTGAAATCTCCATTTTCGATGGAGTTGACCAATCAAAGCCCTGCTTGCAAGATGTAGGTCCCCTCGAAACATAAAGAAACTTTGACAGGACCCAATATATTCCCTTTTTGTCATGAAGGCTCATAAATTCTTCAATATGTCCACTTAGAATTGGCCATTTGTGTCTTGTCTCCATAGTGGAACTGAATGTTCCACTATGGAGGGGTGTCAAACGCAATTTCATCACAGGCCGCATCAGTATTATGGTTGCCCTCAAAGGGCCTGTTGTGGTTCATGGTGGGCTATGCGGGGTCTATGGTGAGCTGTGCGGACTCTTAGGTCGCTGTGCAGGTCCTATGGTGGGCTGTGCAGGCTCTCAGGTGGCTCTGCAAGTTCTATGGTGGGCTGTGAGGACTCTCAGGTGGCTATGCAAGTTCTTTGGTGGGCTGTAAGGACTCTAAGGTGGCTGTGCAAGTTCTATAGTGGGCTGTGCGGACTCTCAGGTGGCTGTTCGGTGTCTATGTTGAGCTGTGCAGGGTCTTAGGAGGGCTATGCGGTCCCATCAGGGGTTCTGGTCGGTCTCAGTGGGTGCTGGTGGCATGGATACGCAGGAAGGAGGGCTGCGGTTACTTTACTGGGGACCTTGGCAGGCTTCCTGTAAAGCCCAGTGCCTGTTTACAGCACTGGCTTCATTTTAAATATTTAGAGCTGCGGAAGAGGTGCAAGTGTTTGACACGTGCTCTAGAGGAGTGAAATGTTGTATTTTTGCACCATTGTGTTAATTTATTCAGCTATTTCTTTTATTCTTTAGGGACCAATTATGTTGGATTAGTTTGTGCCTCGGCCCCTCCCAAAGGGATTAGTGGAGGTGTCACTTTCTGGCAGCCTTTCTTCTCAATCATATCCTTATGCCATATTATGTAGAGTCCATAAGAGAAGCATCAGATCATGATTGACTTTGCCATGGCTGCTTCCGTTACATACAGCTGGAAATTTTGTCAGGAACATCTGGCCAATGGAGTGACCAATAAGATACCAGCATGTGGGTCTAACCCCAACCACCGTTCATGGGGTTCCTTTGGAATTTCTACTTACTGCTTAGGCATGGAGGAGCAGTTCCCTTTGTGATATCCGGTAATGGAAGCAATCCATCCGTTGAATTGCTTTTAGAATGTTGCTCATTACAGAGGTCATATGTTGTTGAATATCCTGGAAGCTCCTGATTTTTCGGATTCTTATCGCTTTCTTGATGGTGAATCTGAAATGATATTCACTAATTAAATCCACTGATCTGCTTTGTGTTCATAATTTTAACATTATTTTTTTTTAACTCCCCAAGTAAGATTTTGACAACCATAATGTGAATGTAATACTTACCAAGACAGCAGTCTGTCCTTTTTCATCTGCAACAGAGAAAAAAGACCATTAGGAAAGCTAAGAAGGCGCAATAAAAGGAAAGATCAATATGTAAACACAGAGCTATAGTGGACCTATATGTTGCCTATGCTGGGCAAAGTGACAGGTTCATTTTAATGCTTTGAATATACATTAAGGTCCATGTATTTACTCTTCACTCACTCACTCCCCGTTCCCCACATTGGAACCCTGTGTAAGTTTCAACAAGCTGAACTACATCTATGCTTACACAGTCCTGTGCGCCCCCCCCCCCCCCCAC